TGGTATAAGTGCGCCGAACAAATTTGCAAACATTGGCATAAGTGCGAATTGGCATAACTGCGAACTGGCATAAGTGCGAAGCAGTTACAAAAACTGGCATAAGTGCGAACTGGCATAACTGCAAATTGGCATAAGTGCGCCGAATAAATTTGCAAATATTGGCGTAAGTGCAAATTAGTAACTCGCACTTATGCCAATGTTTGCAAATTTTGTTTGGCGCACTTATGCCAATTTGTACTTATGCCAATAAGTGTGAATTGGCATATATGTGTGTGTGTATATATATATATATATATATATATATATATATATATATATATATATATATATATATATATATATATATATATATATATATACTAGCTGACCATCCAAATCATTTAATGGAACAATAATAGAATAAAATTTTTATACTTTTTAGGTTGTAGACTAGTTTTACTTTCATACAAACTTCAAAAGTAAAAAAGTTTTAGTATATTTCAGTATATATATTCATATATAATTTTTTGTCGTATTTAAAAATAATTGAACTTTTATACTAGTACTTAAACTTTATAGCGTTTTTATTATGTTACAAGATGATGCAAACAAAATATTGTTTGCAAACAACACACGACAACACAACATTTTGCAAACAATGTTTTAAAATCAATGTTTTGCAAACAATGTTTTGAAATCAATGTTTTGCAAACAATGTTTTGAAATCAATGCTTTGCAAAGAAAATTTTGAAATCAATGCTTTGCAAACAATGTTTTGCAAACAATGTAAAACATTATTTTCACAACGAGTTTGTAAAACGCGACATCAGCTGCATTTCTTTGTTGGACTGATAAATGCAAGTTGCGGTCGGTCCAGCTGCTTATTCAATGCTTTTGCTTCAACTAAAGCAATGGTTTACGCAACAGCATTGGTGTACCTCATTACAATTTCAACTGCATCTCTTTGTTGGGCAAACTAATTAGTAAAACTCTTTTAACTAGTTTCATACATAAAACTCATGTAATTGTGCAAATTTTAAAAGTTTTTTCTCGATAATCAGAACTAAAAACTTTTTATCATAACACTATGTGAACTACCGTCAATGTAACAAAAAAAAAAAAAAACAAAAAAAAAAAAACAAGGTAGATTGTATACAATATGTTTTTTTCACAAATTGTGCTAAAAAAAATAATAAATTGTTCCGTTCGTTCTTTACTAGCAAAAAATATTTCTCAAGAATTTATAAACATAAAAAAATGAAAAATGCTTGAGACATCATTACTAATAAAAAGATCATGCAAGTTTGTTTTTTTTTAATTAGGAAATTCACGCCAGTTTTTTTTTTTTAATTTTTTTTTTATTTGCCGCATATTTACAATAAAATAAATCTTGTTAATAAATAAAAAAGCTGGAGCAAGCAGAAGACATAAACTGTCTTCTGCTTTATTGTTGTTGTTTTTTTCCGATTTACACCATTGGCCTTCGAGAGCGCCAATGGTGCCCGGGTCAAAAATGGAGAACGGCGCCCCTATTTCAAAACAAAAAATTACAAAATTTTACGTTTTGTGAACGCAGCAACCATTTAGTTCTGATACAGCACATTATACTCATATCACAGGTTGTTTACAACAGGTATGTGACAGGTTGTTTATTATTATAGGTATGTGACATGAAATTTTTTAATTAATCTAATATTTGATTGTTATATATCACTATTGGAAAAAACTTCATTACAGTATTTAAAGGTAAAATAATTTAAAATTAAAAAATTAAAATTGAACATTTCTAGGAAAAGTTATAGCATTTTAAGCGTCGAATTTTTGATATATGGATTTGTTGAAGAAACGGTGACCACATTTAGAGGTTTTCTTAACTTTAAAGAGGGGGAATTAGTTTTCACTTAAGAAGATGAGTTGAACAATCCCTTTAGTTATGGAATTGTATATCCAGTCAGCGCACTCCATCTTTGAAATATTATTTGATTAATAATTTCAATTAAAAAAATGTTATTAGATATAATGAATAATCAGTTCTTGTAATAAATATTACATTATTAGTAAAACTCATTTTTTTTTTTTGTTAATAATCTAATAATAATCCCGCCAATCAATAGCTTTTATAATAAATTGTTGTTTGTAATTATCTAGATTGAAATTGTATCTTTTTCCATCTATTGCATATATATATATATATATATATATATATATATATATATATATATATATATATATATATATATATATATATATATATATATATATATATATATATATAGATATATTGTTAATTAAATTTCTTTTATGTTATATAGTTTTTCATATGAAAATTTATTTTCTACTTAAATTTAAAAAAAAAAATCAATTTTTTCAGATAGATTACTTAAGAGTGATCTATAAAATAATCTTAATGTTATGAATTCAAGACAGCACAGGTATCTTTTGTATTTATGCAATTAATTAAATACCGTACTTACAGTACGGTATTTAATTAATTGCATCAATCATTGTTTTATTGTTTGTTGTTTTATATATATATATATATATATATATATATCATCATCATTCATTGTTTTATTGTTTGTTGTTTTATTTCATGCTTTCTATGATTTAACTATGATAAGAACTACACGCAAAAAAATATCTAATATAATAACTTTTCTTCAATCAGAAGCAATTCTAGAAATAAAATGAGTAAGGGAAGGGGGGGGGGGGGAGGGAAGGGGCAAAACCTTGAGAAGTGCTGTCTACTTTCTAAAAAAAAAGATAACACAAAGCCCTAAAATCCTAAAGTTACTTGACTAAAAAGCGTCAAATGCTCAACTAACCAAGAGTATTCCTGATAAAACCGACTATAACTTGAAAATTGCCTTCTTTGGGGAAGGGGGTGTGTGAAGTCATCCTCCCTCACATCCTTCTTCTTCTTCCCTTTCTTCCGTAAAATTGTCCATAACTTCAATACTCAACGTTAAAAAAATAAACAAAAAGCATCACTTTGTCACTTGCAGCTTATCAAGAAAAATGACAAGGAAAATGAAAAATTGGGAAGGAAAATAAGGTCAAATAAGAAAGACTTCAGGAAAAATAATTGCTATCTGACGCAGTAGAATATGAAAAATTCAAAGAAGATACGTCACGAACTGATGAATGATTTAGTTACACATAACATCCATGACTGGTTGAGTTCTTTGCGGCGGAGGTTAATAACGGTTTGATGATTTGTCCAAAAAGCAGATACGAAGAAGAAATTTATTAAATATACAGCTAGTTTACTATATTTATACATTTTATAAAAAACTATGTATTGATGCAGCTGTGACGCAGTGGTTAGATTTCTGGCTCTGTGATAAGACCGTTAGTTAATTATAATAAAAAAATGTTTTAAAATTGATGCTATTAAATTGAGGACCTTGGCGCAAAAACGATGTTATTCCATTTTTACAAATTGTTTAGGAGAAAGAAAAAACTTATTAATTTTAAAAGAAGAGAATACAAATTCATCCAAGCGCGTCAAGTATCCCAATCCCATCCAAGCGCGTCAAGCATCCTGAAAAAAAGATTTTTTAAAGATTGTTTTTCTATTTTTAGACTCAGGTACAAACATGACACTTGGATTGAGGTTCTACAAACACAATTAATTCTAGATGTGTTAAGAGTGTTTTCGAATATTGAACAGAATATTGCCGAATATAAAAACAGAATATTGCATTAGAATTCTACGCACGTCATAGATCCGAAAAAGAAATTTTACTTTTTATGAGCGTAATTTTTGTGTACAATAATTTGTTTCATTTATAATTTGTCAACTTCATGAGACATTCCCCTACATTAAACTACACTTAAACTGGTTGTTTATCTTTATAAAGTACTGACTCCGTTAATGCAGAATAAAGATCCAATAGCCATCGGATTAACACTATCATGGATGATGTTAGGGTATTTTTTTAAAATGTTTTTTTGATCTACGGAACAAATTAGCTTTCACCTTTTACTTTGGCAAATGACTTAATAAAAACATTTTTTGTATATAAAACCCCATTAGAATTGTTTACAAATCACTTGTAAGTTGACCTTATTCATTAACAAAAGCGCTCTTTAACTGGCCGGACTAAGCTTATAGTTACAATCTAATTAATTAATTCTTTTATTATTTAGACGTAAATTAAATAATCTTTACAAGTTTTGCAAAACCTCTGTTTTACAAGAAAAAAATACTTTTGCGAATACGCCGACAAAACCTGATAATTGATAACCTAGGTAACCAAAAATTTTATTTGTGAATAAATATTAACCTCCAAGCGTTTAAAACAAGAATTTATTTTATTAAAACATAAAAGTAACCGCAAATAGTTGAGTAGCATGCAAACAATATAATATATTGCAAATAATTAATACGACATGTGCTAGTACACACCTAACGCCGTTGTATATTGAACAAAAGAATTTGTTTTTGTATGTCTTTTCTAAATATTAACACGTGACGAAACAAATATTCGGAGTTTAAGATCTCAACTATATCGTAAATAAAAGAAAAAATAAAGTATAAACGGGAGAACAAAACTGTTTTTTACTTTTTTTGTTTGTTTGTCCGGCTACAGCAATTACGTTAACTGATTATAACAACGTTTATATACACTTAACATAATTAAAAATGGTCAAGTTTTTCTCTGCTTTTATGAAAACGAACAGTGAGCTATTGTCAGCGTAAAGTTAAAAATTGTAATAAAAAAAAATAACCCATTTTTTTATTTTGAATGTTATTTGCAATAACAAATATAAAATTATATCTATTTCACAAAAATATATACATAACCACTATATAACTTTCCATTTCAATTATCACAAGAAATCAAATTTTATTTTTTTAATGTTAGGTCGGAACAAAGTGTTTGAACACTAAATAAAATATAATCCCGAAAAACAAATATTACACTTGGCTCTACTATATTAGTTTCTTTATAAATAAAAAGCTTACACAAAAAATATGAGAACATTTTAGAAATGTCAAATAGCTTTTATTTTTCAAAAAATAAAAATAAAAAGTTTTGGAGCGCGTAAAACATTTTTCCACACCACAATATGATTATTATTTAAAAGCATAACCGTTGCTTTTCTTTAAAATATAATTATAAAAACAATATGCAAAAAAAAAAAAAAAAAAAAAAAAAAAAAATGAAAAGCTCAAAGGTAAAACATGAAAAAATATTTTCCAAAATTATTTTAAAAATAGTTTGCTTCTTTTTTTTCAAACAATTTGGAGTATTTTTTGCATAGTTAGACTACAAATTTGATTTTAAGTTCCTATAGCAACTATAGAAAACATTAATATTTACAGTTCAAATATAAATACAAGAAATATTAAAAATCAATTAAAAATATAGGATAAAACTCTTCTGATGTTTTCCGTTGGAAGATTTAAAAAACAAAAACATATCCAAAAAAATTTTCTTAAATAAGCTAATATCATATTTATTTTCAGCCTAAAATAATATCATAATATTTTACTGCAGTCTAAAATGCCTTAAAAAGGAAACTGTAGTGTAATCATTTTCAATAAGAATTTAGTTATAAAAAATAAATATTAATAAATTGATAAAAAATTTTATAACGTTTTTAAGTGAAAACATTAAAATGCTTGTATACGATTATTACCAAAATCAACAACTAAAATTATTCCATCAGGACTAACACACAGTCCAGAAGGGCGATCAAGCTGTCCAACCATTGTACCAAATACTCCAAATTTGGTATAAAAATTTCCATTTGGTTGGAAAATTTGAACGCGATGATTTTTTGAATCAGCAACAATTATATTTCCTTCATGATCAATAGTAACACCTTGTGGTCGCATAAATTGTCCATTATTCGATCCCTCTGTTCCTAAAAATCGAGCAGTTTGAAAATCCTGATGAATCACAAGAAGGCGATGGTTATTGAAATCAGTTACAACCATATGTCCTTCATGATTAAAGGCCACACCTCTTGGGGAATCAAAGTGTTTCCATAAAGGGCCATCAAACCCATATTTATTCAGGAAAGTACCATCTGAAGAAAAGAGCTGTATTCTATGATTACGAGTATCTGATACAAGAATTTGTCCTTGGCTATTTGCAGCTACATCCCAGGGGTAAGTAAACTGACCATTTTTATTTCCCCTATCACCAAATTTTAAAATATAACTACCATCAAGCTTGAATATCTGTACTCTATGGTTATCTTTATCTGCAACAATTATTCTATTCTGATTGTCGACACAAACCCCAGCAGGTCGATCAAACTGTCCATTTCTAAAACCAGCTGAACCAAACATACTAATGAACTTCCCTTTTTGATCAAACACTTGTATTCTATTATTACTTCTGTCTGCAACAATGATATTACCATCTTTATCACAACAAATACCCCAAGGTCTGCATAACTGACCACCCTCTTCACCCTCAGATCCAAATTGAAAATATGATTGACCAATACCAGAATAATTTCTTCCACTCTTTACAGTCATTAAAAATGGAGAATCCATAATGGGTTGCTCTCTAATTGTCGCATAAACCTGATGATCTCCTTCAACATACGGTCGATAGCTAACTGTGTAATTTCCATTCTGTCTGTCATACACATCACCGTAAATTTGCTTTCCATCAGGTGTACTAATTATAACTCGAACAACATCTCCTCCAACGCATCTATTGGCACCATGATGATCTTTTGCAATAATGGTAAACATGGTCAATTTGCCTCGTATACCACGACGCAATCCTTCACCAACAGCTGTGCACAAAGGAGGATAAGCACTACTGCTAATAAAACCCATCGAAGCCAAAGCTGTCTGAAGTGCAATGTCTGGTGGTGTGAACGATATTGTATCATCTTCCCATGGATGTCTTAACAACCTTTGATTTTGCAAACTTGTCAGCATTGTTTTCACCTCATTTGCATCTGACAATTTTTGTTCTATTTCAAAAGAGTCTGTAGCTATTTTTAATTTACTAATCGAAAGTTTCATTTGCTCAGCTTGAACTAACAATGCTTTCCTTTTTACTTGCCGAATTTTTTCAACTTGTAGCAATAACTCCTTTTCGCGTTCTTCCATTGCAATTATGTGACGTTTAACTGTAATTCTAATATCACTTGAAATAGCTTTTGATTTAGTTTCAACTTTGTCAACAAAAGTTTGTATATTGCACAATGAATCTTCCATGAGCTTAATTTCTTTGCGTAGATCAGATACTAAATCTGAACTACTTTTTTTATTGTCTACTTGACTTATAGATGAATTAGTGGTGGTGGTGTTTAACATACTTATATTATGTCCATTATGATCATTATTCATGCAATCTCGACATACAGGTATAAAACAAAAATTGCAAAAAAACATATACTCTCTTCCGTGTAATTCACAAAATACAGGTGATCGACCTCCTGATGGTATTGATGAAAGTAGAGAAGGAACGCTTGATGAAGGTGGAAGTGCTATTGAAGTTGAAACTCTATAAACTGGTGGAGAAAAATGATTATTTAAATTTTCCCTAGCTAAAGTATCAAAATAATTAGCTGATTGCAAGGGATTGTTTGTTATAAAAGAATTTATAGTAGATCGAGTTAATTCAGGCTGAGTAATCTTTATATTATCATTACATTCAATTTTTAATAAAGAAAGATTTTGATGCAAATCGACAACTTTGTTTGAGTTTATATTTCGATGTGCATAACTACAATTCTCACACAGGTAATCACTACATTTTTTGCAAGTATATTTGGTCAGATCACCATTATCAGAAGTGGAAAACTCAACTAACTGATGATCCTGAGATGTTTTCAAGTTGCTTTTATTTTTATGACGATACTTTACCCATGGTAAAGCTAAATTTGATTGTTCATTATATGGCTGTTCTCCATTTTGTAGAACAACCACTTCTGAAAATAAATCTTGAAAAAATAAATTAGAAGGTAACGAATTTATGCCAGAACTATCTAACTGCACATCACGTCTACATGTTGGACACCGTAAGCTAAATTCGTTCAGTACATTCCGAATAATATAACTTTGAAGGCAGCCACAACAAAATGAATGCAAACATGGTAATATTTTTAGGTTGTTGTTCTTTGACTTGCAATTTTTGCACTCAATATCTGCATTTTCTGTTTCATGTTGAAGAGGCTGTTGATATCTTACGTGAAATGTGGCCATTGCAAATCATATTTGTAATTTAACGATACATAAAAATTTTAATAGACTTAAGTTGTAGTCATATAATATTCCTTTTAAAAAATTACTTCCTTTTTCGGTTCTGCTAAATGTATAAAATTTCTTAGTAACATATATTTAATCTCAATGTCTTAAATGTTTTCTATTTTAATTTTGTCATGTAATTACAACTTAAATAGATCAATGACGCCTCCATGTTTTACAACTACAACAAAGCTTGTCGCTCATTCATTCATGAATTTGTAAAGTTCCTGTTGTCAAAAAAAATCCACCAATCGGATTAAAGTTTTGAAATGCACAGCAATTTTGCGGATAAAATGTTAAAAATATATTTACGCGCAGGATTTTATAAAATTTGTAAAAAAAAAAGTTTTTTAATTTTTTTATCGTTTTCTCAAAATTTTTTTTTGCATGCTTGATAAAGTTTTGATTTAATAACAAAAAAAAGCACATTTCTTTAAAATTTGGAATAAAACGAATCTACAATCCAGAAGGGATACTTTGCATTAACATTAAATATAAACAACAAACCGCTAATTCAATGACTTCCTTTATTAAACAATGAGAAAAAAAGGAACTCGTCACACTTTTTATCTTACATAAGTATTTGATTTTTAGGATAAGAGAATTGATGCAGAGAAGACGCCATTAAAATCAATATAAACACTATCTGTATTTTGAGAACGTATATTCAATTATAGAAATATCAAGTGCAGTGATTAAAACCATTTTTGTCTGCAAAAAAAGTTTCTCTTTTAAAACTTATCTTAAACTATAAATTTATACTTATTTTGAATAAAAATTTATTTTCATTAGTTTTTTTATAGAAACAATATAAAACTCCATAGTTAACTTAATCATAACCTTATTTATATTATGTATATTATGCACGATAAAGTTTAAAAAGGAGCAAAACTGCTTCCAATAATGCAAATATCTAAAGGACTCTAAACCCGTTATTTAAATGACACAATTAACCAACATTATTGACATTAGACGGCTTGTATAAAAAGAATATAAGTTTAGCTTAATTACCCTTATTTACTCATACCGATGGCTATCGATATAAGTAAATGAGAGTAGAGAATTTATAGCAGTTGTAGCGTAGCGGTTAAAGATCTGGCTTAAAACTAAGAGGTCCTAGGTTCGATGCCGGCTCCAAGAAGTTAGGGGGCATGGGTAAAGAAGGTAAAGGGGGCTTGAACTTACTAGTTATATGCTCTTCCGTGGTGCTCTATAAAACTATTAAGTCTTCTTGTAGAACCTTAACAACTAAAAAAGAAAAAAATCTTCTATTAGTTCTTAATGACAATAAAAAGCGTTTTTTTTTAATACTGTTCATACCACTTTCGAAAAAGAAATTTTTGTGTAAAAAAACTACATTTCAATCCTAAATTTTTATGCTAGATACGTAACGTTATCTTCCTGACGTTTACGCTTAACACGGCCCTGATAATTCTTATTTTGTTATCAGGTATAATAAAATTATTTTACAAGCAGCAGCGCTACGGGTATATTTGTTATATCTTGAATTGATGGAAATAAATTAATCTATAAAGTTTTAAGCTTTGAAAATTTAAACTTTTTAAAGCTTAAAACACTTTCTTGTATAGAAAGCAAACATTTTCTTATTATTACTGAATGGTGGTAAATAGTGTTGTTTTAAAAAACTAGAATGTTTATATGGTAATAGATTTAAAATAAAACAAGAAGTACAACACGAAAAATTATCAGACAAATAAAGCACTAAAAATGATCTTTATTTTTCAGAAATTTTTATTTAACAAAAAGTAAGCATTTTTCAAATATACTCATATATGAATGAGCATTTTTAAAATATTAATTAAATGAGAATACAAGAACTTAATTGAATCTAGACAAACATTTTTTGAATATTAAACTAAAGTAAATAATTTAATGAATATAAATCAGAATAAATTTGTTAATGAATTCAATCCTAGTAAAATTACACCAATTAAAAGCATTCGAATGGATTGAATGAAAAGCATTCGAATGGATTGAATGAAAAGCATTCGAATGGGTTGAATGAAAAGCATTCAAATGGGTTGAATGAAAAGCATCCGAATGGATTGAATGAAAAGCATTCGAATGGATTTAATGAAAAGCATTCGAATGGATTGAATGAAAAGCATTCGAATGGATCGAATGAAAAGCATTCGAATGGGTTGAATGAAAAGCATTCGAATGGATTAAATGAAAAGCATTCGAATGGATTTAATGAAAAGCATTCAAATGGATTGAATGAAAAGCATTCGAATGGATTGAATGAAAAGTATTCGAATGGATTGAATGAAAAGCATTCAAATGGATTGAATGAAAAGCATTCGAATGGATTGAATGAAAAGCATTCGAATGGATTTTAACAAAAACAAAATAAAAGAACAACAACAAAAAATTTATTTACATTAATTGATATTCATGGTTCATAATAGTTATAATATGTAGAGTAATCGAAATAGAGCACTAATGACTTTATGATCTTACTTACTTACTTTATGATCTTATCTTACTTTTCTAATGTCGCACTTTAATTTTATGGTAAGTTTGAACAAGCCATTTTAATCATACGGGGCAAGTTTGAAAATTAAAAGGGCTCACCCCTTTTAAAATAGCATAAAGTTCAATTTTTTGGAAATTTTTGGTTTTTCATAATTTTAATATAAAAACCAGTGTGGATCTGATTCTGAAGTTTTCAAAAAATGTTTTCAAAAAAAAAACATAAATTATTTGTATTTCATTTTCATTTGAACATAGTTGAAAATAATATCCTTATCAACATACATAGCAACAATTTTATTTTTTATTATATAATATTATACACATATGCAATACTTTTTTTTTTATCGGTATTCTAAAAAACGGAAGAACATTTATAAAATTATTATTTTGTCGCCCTCTGTTGCCATATTTGGTGCTAATCTAATAAAATTTGCTATACAACGGTAATTTATCTCCAAGTCAGTTTTCTCAAATGTTATTTGAGAAAACTAACTACCTTTTAAGGTTCTGTCTTAAAATATTTTATAGATTTATGGACATAAGTCTATCAAAAATCATTAAAACTTGGAACAAGTTTTAATAATATTTTATAGATTTATGTCCATAATTATTACAGCGGTATTTTTAGACAGAAAGATTTAAATTGTCATTAAAAGATTGAAGATGATAACGAGCGTTTGCAAACTTGGCGAAGAAGTTAAAGGTAAGGTTTTATGCTGGTGGTTCCAGATAAAATGGCGAAAAAGTTAAAAGTAAGGTTTTATGCTGATGGTTCCTAATAGGTTGTTTGAGGATTGAATGTAGTTACATAGTTTGATATTTTAGAAGTTAGGTAGAGCTCATCAGAATTAAAATTATGATTCTGGAAATAAATTATCTATAAAGCTTCGCTTTGGAGATTTGATAACCTAATAAAAGCTTGTTGATAAAATGGTCCCCATACACGCATACATAAATACTACATAACGTAATATGAAATATGATAAGTTATTTAAAAAATGGTAAAAAAAAGGTTACTTTTCAAAAAAGTCAAACGAACATCTTTCTTGAAACAATATTTAATTTTACTGGTGTATTGCATGTATTTAGTGTTACTAAATAATGTTAGAAAATATCATAGAATTGATATTTAACAATTCTATAAAACTAGCTTTTCAAATTTTTTAATAATATTTTTTGAATTTCGCTTTTTATAGTTAATAAACATTTTAACAGCTAATAATTTTTTTGAATGGAAATTTATTTTTTGAATATTGTTTTAACATTCTTTCCCTTAATTACCCTAAAAAAATCTATAAACTTGATTTCCTAAATATTTTTAAAGAAGATGAGTTCCCTTTAAAATATTTTAATATAAGTACACATTTAGGACATAACATGTAATAAAGGAAAACTATTACAATGTGCAAAAATTGGATACTAAATATACACCGGTTAGATGCATTGCGTTTTGTTTAATTTAATTCTAGAAGTTTATATAAGAAGTATTGTTGTAAAGTCTCATGAATTGGTAGGTACTCTTTTCAAACTTCAGTTCCGAAGTTCAACGTCTTTAATGTTGGCAAACTGGGAACTAAAAGTGCGCACTACAGCTTATTTAAAAGTATAGACGCACTGCAGTGTACATCAGCTTATTTAAAAGTATAGACGCACTGCAGTGTACATCAGCTTATTTAAAAGTATAAACGCACTGCAGTGTACATCAGCTTATTTATATAGCCACATACGCAATGAGTGTACAGACTAGATTTTTAGACAAGTCGTCTCGTAAAAAAAGGTAAAAAAAAGACAATTTAGTTTTTAAAGGTTCCACTCAACCTAACATGCGATCTTAGATCTTATAAATTGCATGAAAGACTCTTAATAATAAAAAAACTTGTTTTAGGAATCTTTATTGACAAATGGATTTGAGATTGTTGATCATACTTAAAATAAACAAAAAAATAATAAATTAAAAGTTTTGCTTTTATTCTGATTTGAAAGCCAACAGGGACAACAGTTTTTAGAACTAAATGTTACTTTTAGAACTAAATGTTTTAGAAAAGAATGCGGTTTTAGAAAAGAATGCGGTTTCAGAAAAGAATGCGGTTTCTTTAAAACTCCGAGCTAACTCCTCGAATTATTTTTAAAGATTTTCCAAAAGCCTCAAACAAACTTGATGCCATAATTTTGCGAATGATAAATATTAAATTTTGCAGATTCTACTAAATTATTTTGTAGATTTACGTTTAAATCTAATTAATCATTAATTATTTAAACTATATCGTCACAAAAAATGCCAATTATTCTTGTAGACAAGACCCTTCAATAAACACAAAATTTTTTTAATAGGACAACATTCTGTCAAGTTTGCAGGGTTACCCACTTTTTCAAAAAAATGCACTTTTTTCTTGTTTAGGTACTGTTACAAATAGTCATTAATTAGTGTGATAGGGTCTACAAAGCCTCAATCGGATAATTTGATGAGCGTCTTTATCAGAGTTGATTCAATTTGCTCTCGTGTTTGAATCACTCGAACATGCTTGTGATCACTTTAATTGAGACTTGTACTCAATTTTTTTTTCTTAGCGCGTAAGTTCTTTTGAGATACAATATAGTATCTACGCTATCAAAGATATCTTTTATATCTGATATATTTTATATCAGAATAGATTTGATAATAATCAATTAAAAATATATACAAAGAATTTATAGATACTAATTGGTCAGTTGAGACTATTTGG